TACTAGGGTAACGTTTGTTGTATATCTGATGTTACTAGGGTAACGTTTGTTGTATAACTGATGTTACTAGGGTAACGTTTGTTGTATATCTGATGTTACTAGGGTAACGTTTGTTGTATAACTGATGTTACTAGGGTAACGTTTGTTGTATAACTGATGTTACTAGGGTAACGTTTGTTGTATATCTGATGTTACTAGGGTAACGTTTGTTGTATAACTGATGTTACTAGGGTAACGTTTGTTGTATAACTGATGTTACTAGGGTAACGTTTGTTGTATAACTGATGTTGCTAGGGTAACGTTTGTTGTATAACTGATGTTACTAGGGTAACGTTTGTTGTATAACTGATGTTACTAGGGTAACGTTTGTTGTATAACTGATGTTACTAGGGTAACGTTTGTTGTATAACTGATGTTACTAGGGTAACGTTTGTTGTATAACTGATGTGTTGTATAACGTCTTGTTACTTCTACATATGTTTTTGTTATATGCTACAACACTGTATTATTCTCAACTTACTGTTTCTTCTGTTCCAGAGGGAGTAAGATCTTTACAAAACCGAAACCACCCATCACAGAGGTAGTATCAGTAAGTATTGGGTAGTATTAGTAGGTATCAGGTAGTATTAGTAGGTATCAGGTAGTATCAGTAAGTATTGGGTAGTATTAGCAGGTATCTGGTAGTATCAGTAAGTATCTGGTAGTATCAGTAAGTATCTGGTAGTATTAGTAGGTATCAGGTAGTATCAGTAAGTATTTGGTAGTATTAGTAGGTATCTGGTAGTATCAGTAAGTATTTGGTAGTATTAGTAGGTATCTGGTAGTATCAGTAAGTATTGGGTAGTATTAGTAGGTATCAGGTAGTATCAGTAAGTATTGGGTAGTATTAGTAGGTATCAGGTAGTATCAGTAGGTATCAGGTAGTATCAGTAAGTATCAGGTAGTATCAGTAGGTATCTGGTAGTATCAGTAGGTATCTGGTAGTATCAGTAGGTATCTGGTAGTATTAGTAGGTATCAGGTAGTATCAGGTAGTATCAGTAAGTATTGGGTAGTATTAGTAGGTATCTGGTAGTATCAGTACGTATCTGATAGTATCAGTAAATATTGGGTAGTATTAGTAGGTATCAGGTAGTATCAGTAAGTATTGGGTAGTATTAGTAGGTATCAGGTAGTATCAGTAAGTATTGGGTAGTATCGGGTAGTATCAGTAAATATTGGGTAGTATCTGGTAGTATTAGTAAGTATTGGGTAGTATCAGTAGGTATCAGGTAGTATCAGTAGGTATCTGATAGTATCAGTAAGTATCTGGTAGTATCAGTAGGTATCAGGTAGTATCAGATGTATAGTATTATTTGTATACTTTGTTTTTATCTTTAACAGGGATTGTATAAGTCTGAAAGTATACAAATAATACTATACGTGTTTCAGACTTATATAATCCCTGTTAAAGATGTATAGTATTATTTGTATAATTTGTTTTTCAGACTTATATAATCCCTGCAGAAGAGGATTTAGATCCAGATGTACTCAAAAATATGATGTCTCTGGGATGCTTCAAAAACAAACAGAAACTGCTGGAGGAGCTGATGTCCTTAAGGTCAGTAATAGTATTATCAGTGTCGGGTTTAAAGGGGGTGCAACCAATGCAGTTGCATGAGGGCCTTTAGTCCCAAAAAAAAGAGAGCCCCAGATTTGAGTCACCCTAGGAAGGGGCTTCTAGCATCTCAGTATTGTATGGTGGGCCTAAAAGTGTCTAACTCTGGCCCTGAGTGTTATGTGTACAAATTAACAATTTAAAAAATGTAAAATATTTTGCTCAAAGCTGGGTGCAACTTATATTAGAAAGTTTTAGAGAATAGGTAACAATATTATCAACAAATTCTTGTCAAAACAATATTTCTTAAATTAATGTCCTTTCAAATTATTAATACATCTACCAACAATGTACTGTCAAAACAATACATCGGTAATATCCTGTCTAATTATTAATACATCTACCAACAATATCTTGTCAAAACAATATATCAATATTGTCCTGTTAAGTTATTAATACATCTACCAACAATATATTCTCAAAATAATATTTATATCAATAATGTCCTGTGAAATTTGTAACACCACTACTAACAATATCTTGTGAAAATAATATGACTAAGAACAGTAACCTGTCAAATTAATAATACTGCCACCAGCAATAACTTATCAAATTAATATTTCTACCAGTTATACCACATCAAAATAATAATACTACTTTCAAACGTTTTTATCATATTGTACGTGAACTAACTGTTCTTGATAATCATGTTCTGTTGGGATCATTTATTTTCTCTCCTCAACGTTGTTCTGTTGGGATTCGTTTAAGGTCAATATTACATAACTCACGGAAAATATTTTATTTTACACTCTTAATATGGATAATAATATCTTTATCTATACTTATATCACAGATTGTATTTTTTCCACAATCACTAACCCAGAGAAAAACGTTTCGTATCACGGTTAAAACACATAAAACAGTATTTTTCACACATTAACACATTGAACAATATTTGATATCACAGTAATAGTACAATATAGTGTTTTTCATTGTTATAACAAAGATACTAATATTGTTGTCTATTCACAGTTATGATAAATATACCAATGCTATTTTCTCACAGATATAACACAGACACCAATCTTGTTGTTTATTCGCAGATATAACACATCACAGTATGTTATCTACACTGTATAGTGACACAGTATGTTATCTACACTGTATAGTGTTACAGTATGTTATCTACACTGTATAGTGTCACAGTATGTTATCTACACTGTACAGTACCACAGTATGTTATCTACACTGTACAGTACCACAGTATGTTATCTACACTGTATAGTGACACAGTATGTTATCTACACTGTATAGTGACACAGTATGTTATCTACACTGTATAGTGACACAGTATGTTATCTACAGTGTACAGTGTTATGTTTTAATATAAGAAACCGCTACATAAAATACATGTAAGTACGAAAGAAAACTTCAAATCATACCTTGGTTTTAGTTTCCCATTTGACCTACAGGTGTCCACTCTTTTCACTGGAGGGTCGGCTAGAATGATGTTGAAATAAAGAACAGTATCAAATAAGTACAGATATAAGGAGGATTTAGAAAACTAAACAAAGTATCTTTATCTGATTTGAATCAACAGCATAAAGAAGATGGGAATATTTTTTTACAGTTTCGTTAACAGGAGCATTAGAAATAGAAATAGTTCTTCATTTTTCATCATTAGTGCTCATCCACTGTACTGGGTCTTTAGGTACGAGTCTGTTGAACTTAGGAGGATCAGGTACAAAAACCTTCAACCTCTTCTTCCTAGTCCTAACGATATATATATATATCCTCCCCTACACCCATCATTGGGCCAGAATCTACTACACACCTTCCTTAATAGGCATCAATGTTCCACTTTATCACAAGGGGTGTAGGGAATACTCACAAGGACTTTAACTTTAACAGCGAGTTCTGGGTGCAGATACAGAAGCCCTTACCAGATTCAGATCGATTCCTTATTATTATTTCATCGTCATCTTCAATAGTTGGTTTCTTCTTCTTTCGATCCAGCAAAAGAAAATATATTACCTTCTCTGTGTTATGACTGGGAAAGAAACAAAAACATTGGTGTCTGAATTATATCTGTGAATAAACAACAACATTGGTATCTGTGTTATAACTGTGAATAAACAACAACATTGGTATCTGTGTTATAACTGTGAATAAACAACAACATTGGTGTCTGTGTTATAACTGTGAATAAACAACAACATTGGTGTCTCTACACTGTATAGTGACACAGTATGTTATCTACACTGTATAGTGACACAGTATGTTATCTACACTGTACAGTACCACAGTAGTATGTTATCTACACTGTATAGTGACACAGTATGTTATCTACACTGTACAGTACCACAGTATGTTATCTACACTGTATAGTGCACAGTATGTTATCTACACTGTATAGTGACACAGTATGTTATACTGTACAGTGTAGATAACATACTGTGTCACTGTACAGTGCAGTGTAGATAACATACTGTGTCACTATACTCACTATACAGTGTAGATAACAATCTACACTGTATAGTGACACAGTATCACAGTATGTTATCTACACTGTATAGTGAACATACTGTGTCACTATACAGTGTAGATAACATACTGTGTCACTATACAGTGTAGATAACATACTGTGTCACTATACAGTGTAGATAACATACTACTGTGGTACTGTACAGTGTAGATAACATACTGTGTCACTGTACAGTGTAGATAACATACTGTGTCACTATACAGTGTAGATAACATACTGTGTCACTATACGGTGTAGATAACATACTGTGTCACTATACGGTGTAGATAACATACTGTGTCACTATACGGTGTAGATAACATACTGTGTCACTATACGGTGTAGATAACATACTGTGTCACTATACTGTGTAAATAACATACTGTGTCACTATACTGTGTAGATAACATACTGTGTCACTATACAATCAGAGTTGTGATATCTTGGGTTGTAATAATATGCCACAATCAGAGTTGTGATATCTTGGGTTGTAATAATATGCCACAATCAGAGTTGTGATATCTTGGGTTGTAATAATATGCCATAATCAGAGTTGTGATATCTTAGGTTCTAATAATACGTTACAATCAGAGTTGTGATATCTTGGGTTCTAATAATACACTACAGTCAGAGTTGTGATATCCTGGGTTCTAATAATATGCCACAATCATAGTTATGATATCGTGAATTGTAATAATATGCTTAACACCAAACTGAGCTCATCTAACACTGGTGACTTTAGATTTCTTAGTACCAAACTGAGCACATCTAACACCAGTGACTTTTAGATTTCTTAGTACCAAGCTGAGCACATCTAACACCAGTGACTTTAGATTTCTTAACACCAAACTGAGCTGATTTAACACCAGTGACTTTAGATTTCTTAACACCAAAATGAAGAAATCTAACCCCAGCTATTAGGTTTCTTAACACCAAACTGAGCACATCTAACACCAGTGACTTTAATATCTAACTTCAGTGCTTTAGGTTTTAACACCAAATCGTACAAATGTGACGTCAGTAAATGTAGTTTGTTTCCAAAAAGAAGAAAAGACGGATTACTCTGTGTGGATACTTTCTGAGTACATAGGGGTGACGCACTGTTGTGTTTAACAACTTACTCAGGCGACGAATCGGATCCTGTATCGTCTGAGGCTGAAGGCGCTGAAAGAAAAAAAAATGAATTACGTTAGAAAGTTTGCGATCAAAATTAAAATAATGATTTTTTTTTCTAACGACAAGAAAAAAAAAAGAAAAGACGGCCCAAATTCCCCCCCCCCTCCCCCGAAAAAAAGGAAGCTTCAATTAACGTACTTACTTCGTAGTTTCCGTCTATGGAAGCGCGGACTTCCGAGGAAACCGTTTCTGATTGTATTCAGGCGTGACTTCCACCTTGTTTGATGAAGGCTCGGAGAACTAGGGGGCGTACAAACATCTGTGGTCTCCGTGGTAACGGGCCTGGGAGATTTTGGTAAGGAGGTTCCAGGGTTGTCTGTAGACTTAGGTGTACAGAAGCTTCGTTTGGGCCGGCTAAAAAGTATCACGTGACTTGTCTTCATGAATATTTTCTTTTTAATGGATATGTTTACTTATACTAGTGATACATCTGTTTGCCATATACAGATTACAGATAGTGGATATCTGGACACATTAATTATGATCTGATTAACAAAATTAATATCTGGTTGGTTGTCTGGCTAAATACATTATATTAAAACTACATTGAATATACAGATCAGTAAGTTGCGTGACAACCATTGCCGACATAAAATCGCAGTGGAACAACAGGTATCAGAACTACATTTTGAAGTTGTAGGAATGGGTACACCCGAAAGTATCTACTGACTTTCTCACGTGGTTCTATAACTTGTACTTTGGTGTTCTGCTGACTTTCTTCAGTGGTTCTTTGACTTATACTTTGGTATTCTACTGACTTTCTTCAGTGGTTCTATGACTTGTATTTGGTGTCCTGCTGACTTTCTCAAGTGGTTCTATAACTTGTATTTTGTGTTCTGCTGACTTTCTCAAGTGGTTCTATGACTTGTACTTTGTTATTCTACTGACTTTCTTCAGTGGTTCTTTGACTTATACTTTGGTATTCTACTGACTTTCTTCAGTGGTTCTTTGACTTATACTTTGGTATTCTACTGACTTTCTTCAGTGGTTCTATGACTTGTACTTTGGTGTTCTACTGACATTCTCAAGTGGTTCTTTGACTTATACTTTGGTATTCTACTGACTTTCTCAAGTGGTTCTATAACTTGTACTTTGGTGTTCTACTGACTTTCTCACGTGGTTCTATGACTTGTACTTTGGTATTCTACTGACTTTCTCAAGTGGTTCTATAACTTGTATTTGGTATTCTACTGACTTTCTCACGTGGTTCTTTGACTTATACTTTGGTATTCTACTGACTTTCTCAAGTGGTTCTATAACTTGTACTTTGGTATTCTACTGACTTTCTCACGTGGTTCTTTGACTTATACTTTGGTATTCTACTGACTTTCTCAAGTGGTTCTATAACTTGTATTTGGTGTCCTGCTGACTTTCTTCAGTGGTTCTTTGACTTATACTTTGGTATTCTACTGACTTTCTTCAGTGGTTCTTTGGCTTATACTTTGGTATTCTACTGACTTTCTCAAGTGGTTCTATAACTTGTATTTGGTGTCCTGCTGACTTTCTCAAGTGGTTCTATAACTTGTATTTTGTGTTCTGCTGACTTTCTCAAGTGGTTCTATGACTTGTACTTTGTTATTCTACTGACTTTCTCCAGTGGTTCTATGACTTGTATTTCGTATTCCATTGACTTTCTCCAGTGGTTCTATGACTTGTATTTCGTATTCCATTGACTTTCTCCAGTGGTTCTATGACTGTTAGTTTTACTTTTACTTTTACTTAGCAGTAAAAGACTCGATGGAAGTCATCACCACCCACTGCCAACTCTTGGGCTACTCTTTTGAAAACGAAAAATGGAATTGACCATCACATAATGTCTCCACGGCTGAAAGGGTGAATGTGTTTGGTGGGATGGGGGATGACAAAATACTCATACACTTAGATCATAAAGTTGTGTTCAGATAGAGTATTTAGAATTTACAAGATGGGAATATACCTTATACTTAATAGCATTGGGAAACAAAGGAATGTGGATCAATTTGGGACATCAGGACTATCCAGAAAGAGACTTGTAACAAATTGTACCCTAGCCATGGTAAGCAAATTGTGGTGTCTCATAATAGGGGAGAATCCACGGACAGAAAATTCAGTGGCAAAAGCCATCCACTTATCTTGGAAACAGTACACAACATAATAAATAAAGATCTTCCAGATAAAAAAAAGTGACACACATTTCTTCCATGACACACCCAGGAAAGGAAGACCAAAGGTAGAAAACCAAATAAACGATTTCTATCCAGGGGAAATGGCAGCACGTGGTGTATCTTAATAACTGCAAAAGGTCTCATGCTACTTTCTACTGAACAATGGGTGAAACAAGCTTCCAAATGCATTACCTAGCATGTTGTGAAAAGTTTTCAAAGAATTTCATAATCATCGCTAGATAGTGCTTCAATGGCAAGTTCGGGATTAGTAGTGTGGATAGAAAAGTCAATTAGAAATCTGTTTATTATTAGACTAATATTTTGGACGCTTTGTACTAAACAGAAACACCGGCTTTCATCGACAACAAGGCCAACAGAGCATGGTTCACCAAGATAAGGCTTATGGTAATACCTCCCACTTAACTTTCATATACCTCAAGCAGTTGGAGAATGAATGGGAAATTCATGTTAATCCGTATACAGACATACCGGTGAATCGCTGGATGCTGTGATTGGACTGTTGAGAAGCCATTGCTCTTGTTGAATTATGGAGAAGCAGGAACCTGTGGTATGCTTTGGACAAGAAAGCCTTCTGACTGAGTCACTTGCAAGAAACTACACTGTAGAGATATCATCAAGATGCATGGTCATCAGATAGAACATGACTAGACGTGGTAATATGGGCTTTAAGAACGTAGTGAGGCTCAAAGTTCGTTTAATATAATGTACTAAACTCTCTGTATACAGGGTAGTCCAAAAGTTATCCAGATTAATAAACACTACAAGTAAAGAACTAATGGTAAAAATATTCAGCTGGTCCAAAAGCTGGTCTTAAGTGTCACCTGTTTTAGATTGATGTGTGTGTATATGACACAGACAGGCTAATGACATTCAGTGAAGTTATTCTACATAAAAGAGGTTTAAACCAACTTCTAGACCAAGCTGCAGTTAAAATATTCCTGTTTAATTAATAAACTCGCTATCAAAACACGGATTTTCTAAGAATACCTTCAATAAAACTATATTATCTTGCACCGTATATAAATACACCAGTTCGATTTTCGATACCTCACTACTATAAAGGCTTGGTTTGGTCTCATATTTCATTGGTGGTAGTCTCCAGGGTCACTGATGAGAAGTGGAATTCTCCGAAACTAGTCTGGCTCACAGACACACCCCAATGAAAGAATAGACCATTCCAAGCTTTAAGTTGTTGTTAAACACATGTTTAAATAACTTTATTTATTCAAATATATATATTTATTATATGTTAAGCCTTTCTTTTCTAAACCTTACGGAACATATTAAACCAACACTGTTAAAATTACCTGTAGGGGATTCGTCTTGACGACAATGGTGATCCGTGACTCATGACGTCAAAAGAAAACCTAATTGAAGAAATAAATATCTCATAATTATCATAGTTAATGAGAAGCTTAATAAAGCTGGAACTAGTTAAATATGTAGTATACGTGTTATATATTTATAGAACTAGCTGTAACAGTCCTTGTCTAGCCTACTCTAGCACCCACAGTAATAAGATGTTAAACCAGTTGGACATTGTGTATTTGTATGTTACCTACACTGTATAGTGACACAGTATGTTATCTACACTGTATAGTGACACAGTATGTTATCTACACCGTATAGTGACACAGTATGTTATCTACACCGTAGTGTATTATTAGAACCCAAGATATCACAACTCTGATTATGGCATATTATTAGAACCCAAGATATCACAACTCTGATTGTAGTGTATTATTAGAACCCAAGATATCAAAACTCTGATTATGGCATATTATTAGAACCCAAGATATCACAACTCTGATTGTAGTGTATTATTAGAACCCAAGATATCACAACTCTGATTATGGCATATTATTAGAACCCAAGATATCACAACTCTGATTGTAGTGTATTATTAGAACCCAAGATATCACAACTCTGATTGTAGTGTATTATTATAACCTAAGATATCACAACTCTGATTGTAGTGTATTATTAGAACCCAAGATATCACAACTCTGATTGTAGTGTATTATTAGAACCCAAGATATCACAACTCTGATTGTAGTGTATTATTAGAACCCAAGATATCACAACTCTGATTGTAACGTATTATTAGTACCCAAGATATCACAACTCTGATTGTAGTGTATTATTAGAACCCAAGATATCACAACTCTAAGTGTAACGTATTACCAAACAGATTTACAGTAATCTTCAGTATATCCCACTTAGCAGTTAACATGGATCTTTTATGATGATGTGTCCGCTCTATGTGATAATGTTGTTGTTTTTATTTAGGTTAACGAAGAAGTCCTGGTTTACAAACTTAACCAGTGGGGAACGTGATGAAACCCACGTTGTTTTGATTAAAGAACTCTCTGTTGGGGCGGTAAAGGCGAACCTTGTTCACACCTTCCTGTCGGTAAGGGTTAGCCTTGTTTACACCTTCCTGTCGGTAAGAGTTAGCCTTTAACATGTGTTTCTTTGAAAAGGTCATGATTATCAACGTCTCGTTTTTATTTTACAGTGTTACAAGTTTCCGTAAAAAGTAAGAATCTTGAAAGATCGTTAAGAAACGAGTTAGGCCCACTGACTTTAACATTTTTACCTGACATAAGAGTGAAACAGACACAGTACACGGCGGATGTATGGGCATTTTCTTTTCCTTTGGTCCACCGGAATTGGTCAGTATTTGGAACTAGTGAAATTTCAGTGCGAAATCGGACGTTTCGCTGCAGAAGGTTTCGCTTCACGGCTAACGTTTCGCCTTTGTTATAATCCACTTGAAACGATACGTGAGATAGCAGAGTATGGCTCAGGTCAGCTGTCTATAGAACATAAATCAAAAGTTAAACATCTAGTAAAGAAATACTTCGAAGGTTTTAGTTTTCTGTTATAACTTCTGTAACTGCCTCAACACTACTGCACAGTTCTAAATAGTATGGTAATAGGTGTAAAGATGACGCAGAACCGAGAATCTTAGTTGTTAGAAGCAAAAGTACCCGTCCCCAGTGACGGAAAAAGTTTAAGTTAATCTATGAATTTAAATTATTATCTCCTGGACTTTAAAAAGGTTAATTTTGTTGCACTCTTGGTTTCACTCATAACCAAAACTCTGAGCTACTTATACCACCCATTGAGAAAAGTAATTGTTGAGTATTCCAGTCATGCTAGGAGCCGCTCAACAATAGCATACGGTAAATCTACATTTTTATTCTTTAAGTTACGTCACATTTTGAAATGTGAACGATAATGTGATTAGTTCCTAACAATTTAGTGTAAAATATTCTGCTTGCGATATCTAATTTGTCTTAAACATTATTCCTGCCTGTTCTCCTGACATTTCAAAATTCAATTATTGAGCGTTATTTGCTTGTGCAGCTTTTCAAATGGGAGACAGACGAACGCTCGGACAAACACCACGGTTAACAATATATATATAATAGTACAATATGGATTAGCATCTGCCAAGTAACGATCTGGTGGTTAGGGCATTCGACTCGAGTAATGGTCTGGTGGTTAGGGCATTCGACTCGAGTAACGGTCTGGTGGTTAGGGCATTCGACTCGAGTAATGGTCTGGTGGTTAGGACATTCGACTCGAGTAACGGTCTGGTGGTTAGGACATTCGAAAACGGTCTGGTGGTTAGGGCATTCGACTCGAGTAACGGTCTGGTGGTTAGGACATTCGACTCGAGTAACGGTCTGGTGGTTAGGGCATCCGACTCGAGTAACGATCTGGTGGTTAGGACATTCGACTCGAGTAACGGTCTGGTGGTTAGGGCATTCGACTCGAGTAACGGTCTGGTGGTTAGGGCATTCGACTCGAGTAACGGTTTGGTGGTTAGGGCATTCGACTCGCTATCTGAAGCCAGATTCCCTTCACCAAAGATGCTCGCCCTTTCAGCTGTGGAAGTTATAATGTAATGGTCAATACCTCTATTCGTTAGTCAAAGAGTAGATCCAAAGGTGGCGGTGGGTGGTACTGATTAGCTGCCTTCCCTCTAGTCTTTCACTTCAAAATTTAGAGACGGTTAGCGCAGGTAACGTTTCACTCAATACGGAAACGTCGCCCACTCGTACATCTTCAAACCCAATCCACCCACAACGTGATCCGATCATTCTCAACAAACATTTGTCTACTGTTTCCATTTCGACCGATTTACTTATCCAATAGTGAAAAAATTAGTGTTTGTCTAGTCAGTAGATAAGTCACACAACACAGACACCACGTGTATCTTGTTGTTCCTGTGTTTGTTTAGTTAGTAGATAAGTCACACAACACAGACACGACGTGTATCTTGTTGTTCCTGTGTTTGTCTAGTCAATAGATAAGTCAGACATCACAGACACTACGTGTATCTTGTTGTTCCTGTGTTTGTTTAGTTAGTAGATAAGTCACACATCACAGATACTACGTGTATCTTGTTGTTACTGTGTTTTTCTAGTCAGTAGATAAGTCACGCATCACAGACACGACGTGTATCTTGTTGTTCCTGTGTTTGTCTAGTCAGTAGATAAGTCACACAACACAGACAGTACGTGTATCTTGTTGTTCCTGTGTTTGTCTAGTTAGTAAATAAGTCACAACACAGACACGACGTGTATCTTGTTGTTCCTGTGTTTGTCTAGTCAGTAGACAAGTCACATATCACAGACACGACGTGTATCTTGTTTGTTGTTTCTGTGTTTGTCTAATCAGTAGATAAGTCACACAACACAGACACTACGTGTATTTTGTTGTTCCTGTGTTTGTCTAGTCAGTAGATAAGTCACACAACACAGACACGACGTGTATCTTGTTGTTCCTGTGTTTGTCTAGTCAGTAGATAAGTCACACAACACAGACACTACGTGTATCTTGTTGTTCCTGTGTTTGTCTAGTCAGTAGATAAGTCACACAACACAGACACT